AGGAATTGAATGGGTGTTTAATTGCCCTGATAACCCATCGGAAGGTGGTGTGGGAACGCATGGTGCAATGCGTTAAACGTGTCCTCCATCACACCTTGAAGGAAATCGCGCCACGTGAGCATACATTGCAGAGCGTCTTGATTGAGGCCGAGAATATAGTGAACTCTCGGCCACTTACACATTTGCCGATATCAGTGGACCAAGACGAACCGCTTACGCCAAACCATTTTTTACTGGGTACCGCCAATACAGTGCAAACGCCTTCTATAAACGCTTCGGAAGAGCGAACGTGTGCCCTTCGTAAACAGTGGCGAATTGCTCGGCAGCTTCAATAGCACTGTGAGACAAATGGTATGGGTCAGTGATCGGGAAGAGTTCAAACTACCGGGGAAAGTTATATCGATAAAAAGAAGTTATACGTGTCCCGGCGTTTCGCTGGGTCACGTCTAGGAATCGAGATATATATATAACTATCATATAGGGGAAATTGTCACCTTTGGTGGTCTTTTTTTGACATAACTCGAGAACCACTAGTCCGATTTTGCTCAAACAAATTTAAAAAAATTAAAAATTACAATTCCTTTAATCTGTTCATATGACTCTGCAAAATTCAATTTATTTGTACACCATAGCAAATTTTTCTACCCCGTCTCACCACGGAGAAAAAAGTTACCGATTGGCACTGGGCCTAAATAGAGAAAAAANTATTGACGACGAAAAAATTTTACGCGTTGGTGGCCATTTAGAAGCTGCTAGTTGGCTTCTATTCGATTGCCTGCATCCCATAATTTTACCAGAGAAGCACCAGCTTACTGTTCTAGTCGTTACCCATTATGACGAGCGAATGAAACATCAGTACTTTGAAGCAACAATTGGGGAGATTCGCCAGAAGTTCTGGATCACCCGCATACGTTAAGTTTTAAGAAGCGTTGTCGCGAGTTGCATGGTTTGCAGAGCTTCCCGTGCTAAACCCTCACCGCCGATTATGGGTAGACTGCCGGAGGATCGCTTAACGCCATACGTAAGACCATTCAGCTATAGACTACTTCGGTCCTTGAACGTAACTATCGGCCGCCGAACTGAAAAACGATGGATCGCTCTGTTTACATGCCTCACGGTGCGTGCTATACATTTGGAGGTAGCAGCTGATTTGTCAACGGATTCGTGTATTCTTACCATCAGAAATTTTATCAATGGGCGTGGCGTCCCAGTCCGAATGCGGAACGACAACGCAAAGAACTTCGTTGGCGTCAAGGAAGTAGCAAAACGCTTCGATGAGGTGTTCGACTGAGAGCAAATACAGACCGAATTATCTAAACAAGGAATTGAATGGGTGTTTAATTGCCCTGATAACCCATCGGAAGGTGGTGTGGGAACGCATGGTGCAATGCGTTAAACGTGTCCTCCATCACACCTTGAAGGAAATCGCGCCACGTGAGCATACATTGCAGAGCGTCTTGATTGAGGCCGAGAATATAGTGAACTCTCGGCCACTTACACATTTGCCGATATCAGTGGACCAAGACGAACCGCTTACGCCAAACCATTTTTTACTGGGTACCGCCAATACAGTGCAAACGCCTTCTATAAACGCTTCGGAAGAGCGAACGTGTGCCCTTCGTAAACAGTGGCGAATTGCTCGGCAGCTTCAATAGCACTGTGAGACAAATGGTATGGGTCAGTGATCGGGAAGAGTTCAAACTACCGGGGAAAGTTATATCGATAAAAAGAAGTTATACGTGTCCCGGCGTTTCGCTGGGTCACGTCTAGGAATCGAGATATATATATAACTATCATATAGGGGAAATTGTCACCTTTGGTGGTCTTTTTTTGACATAACTCGAGAACCACTAGTCCGATTTTGCTCAAACAAATTTAAAAAAATTAAAAATTACAATTCCTTTAATCTGTTCATATGACTCTGCAAAATTCAATTTATTTGTACACCATAGCAAATTTTTCTACCCCGTCTCACCACGGAGAAAAAAGTTACCGATTGGCACTGGGCCTAAATAGAGAAAAAACCTAAATCACTGGAAAGTGTCGGTAACGCAGTGAATAGGAACAATTTAGATTTTCTGCGAGCATACTTTTCAACCTAAATTGAACAGTCAAATATATTTGGGCGAGCGATTAAGTGAACAACGATTTTTTGATGTTTTAAATAATTTTTATTATTGCTATGGCACAAAAAAGAAAATATTCAGTAAGTATAAATTTATTTGATTTTTGCATTCAGATAAGTATATGTGTAATTCGATGGATGCATATTATTTCGCAGGGTCAGAAGAGCAAACGGATTCATTAGCTCTGATCCTGTACTCCATGAACTTACAGGATTTTACACGAACTTGCAGGAAGTTGCAGGAAAAATATTCCCGTACTCCAAAATCATCCAAAATCCTGTAAATGAGAGCGACTTTTGGAGAGTTGTGTAGAGAATGAAGTTGCAAGATTTTACCCGAACTTTTTTTTCTGGTAAAATCATGAAAAGTGTCAAGCAATCACTGGTTGACGTTTTTACAGGAAAAATGGTTTTTTTGTTCCCGTACTTTTTGTTGTTACTCACTTTTTACTCTCACTTGAGAGAGTATGATTGCTGTTTGACAATTTTACAGGATTTTCACGAAAAGTATTGGATCAGAGCTTTTTATAGATGCCAGGATGGAGCATTCTCCTTTTCTGTTGCAAATTTATTATATTGTTAAATAGTCCCAAAGCTACCACAAAGTTATTCATTTTATAGATATATTTGCTAAAAGCAAAAAAATTCAAATTCCAAAACAAACAATTTAGGTTGTCAAACGAACTCGCACAGTTTTAGCAGCTGTTTTCCTAAATTGTAGCAGTGCTGGAAATTTCCTGTGGAATATTAGTTTAGGTACTAAAATTTAGGTCAATCGCACACAGCCTAAAACTTGTGTTTTCGTCCATGTAAAATCTGTCAAATGAAAACCAGTTTTCGCTCATTCCAATCGGTGTCTTCACTAGTTTTCTTCGATTATTTATCAAAGTGGAAGTTATTTTATCATTTTTAATACGCCATTTCGGATTTATTGCTAATTGGTTGGCCAAAGTAAAATAAGACTGAAAGTCAAGGGTTGTAAATGAAAAGCAAATGAAGTTTTTGTGTAGCAAAACTGTAACCGAAGATGTAAGAAATGTCAACGAAAACACTAACAACCGGTGTGAACAGCCTTTAGCCCACAATCCCAAAACTCGTTTTCGACATATATGTATGTAATACTTCTATATTGGCTGAAAGCTAACTTCCCAACGTGTAAGCATTCCGAAATCAAAGCGAGACAGTCTAGTACCGTTTTTGTCAATGCATTGTTTACTTGAGTGCAGTTTTTGTATATAGGAGTATTACATATATAGTTTTCGAAGTGTTTTCGTTGTCGGTCAGAACATGGTATAAGAGCTAAATAGACGACTTACGGCCGGTTTCACGAAATTTTTAAATGGAAATTTAACTCCAACTTAAATTTAATTGTAATTTTTATTTAATTTAGCACTTAATTTTTCTCAGTTTCACCAATACTTGAATTTGACAGATGAAAAGTTCAAAGTCAGGCATGTTGCTATGTAATAACAGCTGTTTGAAACATGTCAGCAAGTAATGACAACTGATTGAAACAAATAAAAAAATTAGTAAAATGGAAGAAAGCATTGCTCGGACAAAAAATTTTCCTCAAGTGAAATAAAAAACTTGCTAAGTTTGGTGCAGGACAATGCAAAGTGTGCTGGAATGCAAAGCAACCGGCAAAGTTAGGCCAGATCAAAAAGAAAAGGCCTGGAATACTCTAGCTGAGAGTTTCAACGCGACGAGTACCGGGGAACCAAGATCAGCAAAAGTTTTGCGTACTAAATATGCAAATTTAAAGGCAGATATGAAAAAACGATCTGCAGATCATAAGAAATATGTGTATGGAACCGGCGGAGGTCCATCAAAAGAACCAGCCACTGATGAATTCGACAACTTGTTAAAAGATATTTTGCCAGAAAAGCAAATACAGCGGATGATTTCCCAATACGACAGCGACTTCATATCCACAGAAGAAAAATATGAAATTTTGGAGTGTTCAGGTAACAGCGGAAAAGCTTTTAATACATACATATGCACCAACAAACGAACCTGTACAAATATGTATACGTTTCTGATTTGCAGGCCGTGATTTAAGTCCGTGTGCATCACGGCAGCCCAGCATTTTTAAACGAAGCGAACAACTGATTCATAGTCAAACACTGCAGCAAGAAAATGGTATAAAATTCAAATTGGCTGATTCTGCTCAAAGAACTTCATGAATTTCAGTTACTTTTACTTACAGATACTACAATGACTGATTGCTTGGGCTTGCAAGGGGAGGCTACTTTGTCGACAAGCAATAATATTTGCATTTCAACCCCAAAATATTCTGGAACTCAAAATGATGGTATGTATATACATAAATATGTTTTTGTAATCTCAGCCTTTCAAAAAGCTTATTTGTTTACAGGAGTTATTGAAAAGGATTTTGAAACTTGGGAAAAATATACACCAGTTCAACTAAAAACGTGTAAAAACAAAAAACTGTGCCTTGATACTGGAAAAGCAAAGCAGTCAAGTTGGACTAAACTTGCGGAAATAAAGGCCAAATGGTCTGAATCAAAAATGAAACAGGAATTGGAGTTTGCCAAAACCGAGCATTTGTTGCGTGTTGCTAATATGAAGGAATTGCATGAGCTGCAAATAAAAACTACTTCTGAAAAGCATAGTTTGGAAATGCGTGTACTTCAAGAGAGTATCCAAAGAAATTAAAAAAAGAAGTGTTTGATCTTCATATACAGTCCAGGTAAAAAAAATAGTACCTCAAAATGTTGACCAGTTTATGTTGGAGCTATCATTTTGACCGCAAGTGAATGTCTTGCATGTGGTTCTAAGAATTTTTTTTTAACGTTTAACGTACCTGCTAATGAAATATGTATGTACCTTAATTTCCTTTTTATTTCATACTTGATATTCAAACGTTTTTATTGTTTCAATGAAATAAATGTTACAAGCTCTCAAAGTAATTTTGTATTATATGTCTTCTGTGTACATTATCACTTCGGCCAGATGCTGGGACTGTGGGTACATCAACTACCGTGTCAATAATATCGTTTATATCTCCATATACTGGAGGAGCAGTCACATCTTTGTTGATGTTACAAATGTTGTGCAAAACTGCAGTTGCAACGATGATACTTTCAACTTCTCTTATTTGCATTCGAATTCCAAGAGCAAGTATTGCAAATCGTCGTTTCCACACGCCGTACTTACGCTCAATACAATTGCGGGTCCGTATTTGAGACTCATTATACAATGCTTCAGCTTGAGTTTCTACCTTCAACAAGGGAGTCATTATCCACCCATTGCAAGGGTAACCGCCATCGGCAACGACCAGAGCATTCCCGAATTCTCTTCCCTCAAATTTGCTAAATATCCGCGAGTTCCTTAGTATATGTGCGTCATGCGACGAACCTGGCCAACGGGCTACAATATCCAAAATGTTTAATTTGCTGTCACAAAGCGTTTGTACATTTATCGAAAAGTAGCCTTTTCGATTCCGGAACAACTCTGCGTCATCACCACCTAAACATTTACACATATCAAGCAATAGTCAGCCAAAAATATTAATGGGTACGGTTTAGTTATTTCTAAAACAATTTTGGGTTGCTGTGTTCAAACGTGTTACCCGAATCAAACAACTTTTAGGCACACTTGTAGACAAGAGTCTTTGCTATCGTTGTATAAATAACTGAACATTTTCCATATGAATTATTGTACTGACCTGGAGATTGAATTTTCACATGCGTGCAGTCTATAGCAGCTAGCACTCGTGGAAACTTTGCTATTTTGTAAAAATCTTTCTGCATTTGCCTCTGTTTTTCCACTTCCACTGGAAATTTTATAAAACGTTCTCTTAATAGCGCAGTCTGACGGCAAACTCTTCTTATTGCTCGGCACGAAGAGCTTTTTGATACGCCGCTTGAGTCACCGCCAGTTCTTTGCATGCATCCTGTCGCAAAGAAACGCAGCGTTATCAAAAACATTACTTCTGGCGACATGGCACCATTTCTAAAATAGTAATAGAAGCATACATGAATAGTTTTACAAAAAGCATTAACGTTTTTAATTACTTATTAGTTTTGTGTTGAATTTTGCTCCTAATAAGTTCCAAAACCATCCATGCTGCTTGCTTGGTTAAGCGAAATCTGCAGCGAAAGTCCACATCGTCATAATATGATAGAAAGTTTCGACGCTGCCTCATTATGCGTGGACGTCGGTTTATTATTATGTTTATTAAAGCCTCGTATTCCAAATCACTTTCATCATCAGAATCCATTTTCCATTTATAAAAAATATTTGTGTTACTGCCAAAACAGCTGACAGTAAAATGTATACAGAGTTGCAAATGATCAGCTGATAAAGAAATGAAGACAGAGTTGCAAATAATGATATTTAATTCAAACTTAAGTGGGATGTAGTTGCCGTTTAAATGAAAATTAAATCGAATCGTGTAACTTAAAAAAATTATTTTTCACTTAAATTGCTGTCGCGAAACCGGCCGTTAATGAACTGAACAAATTTAACTACGTACAATTCTTTTGTGTCAAATCGAATTAGGGAACATTTTCCAATACGGAACCCGGCTTTAAAAAAAAAAATTAGGGGGTTTAGAGCAGCTTTTTGTGATTGTAAATCTGAAATTGAATTGTAAGTTGCAAAAAATGTCAACTTCAACCTCACTTTTTGCTTTGCAAACCAATTGAGCTAAAATGTCGGTGCTGCCACACAACAAAAAATGACCAAAAAAAAAGCGCCGACAACGAGAAACAATAAAACGGACATTGTAATTAATATTTTTTTTTAATTAAATATCATGTATTGATAAAAAAAGTGATTCAGTCTAAAATCGAGAGATTTTGTAATAAAAATGTTAACTTAGTTATTTATCGAAGTATTGATTTTTATGGGAAAAGCGCCCCCACTAGAAAGGGGACAGTCCCCGCTTTCTAAAAAGGCGTACGCCCCCCTTGGGCTCCTCCCACAGGCCCCTAGGAACCGTTTGAAAAAGGGGAAAAATGGAATTTTCTTAGGCAAACTGAGCAGTTTGAAGAGGAATATGTCCCAAGTAACAGAAACCGTGGGTTTTTTTAATAAAAGAAATTATGCCAAATTAGATATCGGGCGATTTTGAATAAAGAATAAAAAAGTTAATTAAAAATAGAAAAAACAAGTTTTTATAAAAAAAATTTCTTTTTAACAAATGTATTTTTGCGTAGAAGCCCTTTCTGCGTAGGCGGCCTTCGGCCGCACTTAGGGATTANCTTTGGACGGAATAGCCCGAAATAGTTGTGAGCGCTACTAAACCCCACCCAATATTATTTCCCCCCGAAAAAAATTACACCGTTATGATCAGGAGTAAGACCCCTATCGATCCAAATATTATTATTTTTAATAAGAGCAATGTACGTATTGTGCACTTATACCCCTTAATTATACGCACTTATTTGTGGTGTACNAGGCAGTAGAATTCTCCTTTCTGTGTTGCCAAAGAAAAGGGGCCGAACACCTTTTGCATAGAACACCTTTCTGCGTAGGCGGCCTTCGGCCGCACTTAGGGATTATAACCCTCAGGATGTAGAATTCTCGTTTCTGTGTTGCCAAAGAGGGGGCTGAACACCTTTTGCAGAGAACACCTTTCTGCGTAGGCGGCCTTCGGCCGCACTTAGGGATTATAACCCTCAGGTAGAATTCTCCTTTCTGTTTTGCGAAGAAAAGGAGCTGAACACCTTTTGCAGAGAACACCTTTGTATATTTTTAATGCTTACTGGGTTATATCCTATCTTCTTTTGTCTCTCATTCTTTTGCATATTTTGGAGTTTGACAGCTGAACTCCGCCATTTAATTTGCATATGCAACCAAAGTCAGACGCGTGATTTTGAAGGTGTTTTTATTTAATGAATTGTGATTAATTGGTTAATATTAAAGTCGTAAAGCAAGTTATAACTAATCGAGTAAAGTGTAAAGTGAAGGGGAATACAAACATGTATTGGTGAAGTGGCTGCTTTAAAGAGAATAGGACTGGTAAATTTACGATAATTTCCGAATTTTATAAAAAAGGGCATATTTCAAACCCATTTTGTAAATAAACTAGTGACCGAAAATTACAAAAGTGAGTGTTAAAATAATGCATAGACCCTTGACTACAAGTGTGTGGAATTTTTTTTGGAACGGGCCACCCCTTTGGACGGAATAGCCCGAAATAGTTGTGAGCGCTACTAAACCCCACCCAATATTATTTCCCCCCGAAAAAAATTACACCGTTATGATCAGGAGTAAGACCCCTATCGATCCAAATATTATTATTTTTAATAAGAGCAATGTACGTATTGTGCACTTATACCCCTTAATTATACGCACTTATTTGTGGTGTACTTTTTTAACGTATGGTATGGTGGCATACATTTTGTGTTACTGTCAGCCATTGCTATTTCTGCTTGTTTGTGAAATGTGTTAAAGTTTGTGACAAATTCGTAGCGAGCAGCCGAGGGTGAAGGTCTAGGCAGTGATTTGAGCGAATTATTTTATTTCTTAGTGCGGTACAGAAAGTAAAATTAGATTTAATTGATTTTGTGACGTTAGCGATTGTCAGGATATACAAGTAGTTATATCAATAGATCTAAAGCCAACAGGTGTAAAGGGCCTCATCAATTAAAATAATTCATCATTAACTGGGTGAGTTTTCTTGTGGCATTTTGTGAAAAAAATGGTGTGTATAAGTGCGTTCTTTCGTGCATGCAAAATGGCCGGCGCTTCGGCGTCAAATGGCTGCCAAATGAATGATTCTGACCCTATTGAAGCCTCAAATTTTTGTGAGGAGGATGTAGGGTGGAATCAGAGTTACAATAAAAAAAAGACAAAATAGAGAACTAATCAGAAATAGAAAGGGTCGTGACGACGACACTGACGAAGAATTAGTGAAATCAAACAGAAGTGAAGAAAAATGAAAAGAAATCAAAAAAAAGAAAAAGACAATATGGCGCAAATGCCCCCCATGTAGGGCATGTTGGTACCAAGAGGTTATTTGGACAGTTAAGCCAATATAAATGTGCTCAACAGTGGTAATGAACTGGCGTCGATCGAGATGGGTGGTGAGCATTTTGTTGGGCAGGAGAGGTCAGTGGAGGTTAATCAGTTTATGAATGGTAATGGACAGTCAGAGCAAAGGACAGACATAGTGGCGGGCAATGAGAAGATAATGAACGGTAATGTGAACTTGGTAGACAATGGCGGGAAAGAAGCGTTGGGCAGTGTAAGCGTGGCGGCAAACGACGCGCAGCTGAAACAGGGTGAGTCATAAAACTCGACTGTGAATTCGATTTTTGAAACTAATAAGAAAAGTGAAGAGTCAATGCCTAGAGTACTGTACTCGAATCAGCACAGAAGCGATTTTTGTGTCTTGATCGACAAGTCAAAAAGCCCTATTTGTGACAATGTCGCAATGAAAAATTGTCTATTTTTATCGGCAAAAATACGAAACTTTCAGATTCAGGGGATCAGGAAGATTATAGCACTGGGTAGATCCCTTTATAAAATATTTTTTGATACGTTTGAAGACGCAAACAAGTGCTTGGACAATAATAACCTAGCAAAAAATCTTATGAAACCGTTTATTCCGAGGAACTTTGTGGAAACCGTGAGGGTGGCCAGACAGGTGCCAACGGAATTCACGGACGAGGAAATTTTAATGAATAGATCTGAGATAAAGGTAACATATGTAAAGAGAATCACACGACGCGATCCCAATAACAAAGCTGTGAAAATTGGCTTCTAGGGGAATGATTTACCAGAAGCAATTGATCTGTTTTACGTGAAAGTCAAAATTAATCATTTCATACCTCGGGTCAGACATTGTTTCAATTGTGGCCGGTTAGGGCATACAAGGATGGCATGCAAAGGTAGAAATAGATGCATCCTATGTGGTTAGGAAGAAGGGTGTAGCAGCAATTGTAGTACCGTAAATAAAAGGTGCATATTGTGCGGTGTGGAAGGTCACACTTCTCTTAATAAAGAAAAACGGTGCTCAGTGTGGCAGAGGGAAGAGCAGCTAATAGAAATTATGACTGTTAAAAAGATGTCGAAAAGAGAAGCCATTGATCTTTATAACAGAAACTGGTTTGAGCTATTTAAGGACTATGTTGAGGAGTTTCCTCCACTGGTGGAAAATACGACTCCAACAATAAATAGGGATCATGTTGTAAACAGGAAGTTAATAAAGAGGAGTTTTAATAATGTAACAAAGGAGGATCAAGGGAAGACAGCAGTTTATGAGGGCAGACCGAGACCGCGGGTAGGGAAAACGATGCCGGTATATCAGAGTGAAAACTGGAGTAAAGTCTCGGAATTAGAAAAACTCATTAGTTTATTAATAGATAAATTTGAAATTAAAAAAGAGGAGCCTTTAGTAAAGCTCATTCATAATACATGCAAAACAAGTGTAAGTGACAGACTAACAAATAATCAGTATGACGAGCATAAAGATTCTGCAGTATAATGTACAGAGCCTAAAGACAAATAAAAGCTACTTAGATTTCTATATACAAAAAATGGTATTGAAATAGTTTGCTTACAAGAAATATCTTCTCACGACGAGAAAGAATGTAATCATCAATTAATAAATTTTAATCTTAAAAAAACTAGGGCTGATGGGTTCGGAGGGGTGGCCATTGGTTTTAGAAAAGGCATCCGATACACGAAAGTTAAGTTTAGAACAACTTTTGCTATTATTATTATTGCGAGAACCAGCAGTCTAAATGTCAATTTTACAATATGCAATGTATACCTACCTTCTAATATTGATACGAGGAAACAGAAAGCATTCGGTTAATGGGTTTTCTTAGCAAGTTCAGCAACGTAATCTTGGTGGGCGATTTTAATGCCAGATGTAGAAAGTGGGGCGATCATATTGATACGCCTAAGGGTAACATTTTGTGTAGAGAAACTAACCAAGCAAATTTTAAGCGTCTTAACAATGGGGTTATAACGCACAATAATAGTAGGTCAGGGGCTGGCATGGGTACTGTGTTAGACTTGTCATTCACTAACGTTGTAAATACAAAAATCAATTGGAGGTGCGTTCATATCAATATAGGAGGTAGTAATCACTTTCTTATTGAAATCGAACTAGTGGAAATCAACAGAAAACCAAATCTATTTATACCAAAAAATAAATTAAAAGAAAAACAAGTAAGAGCAGCGCTGTCTTCGGCTATGCCGAAGGCTTCATACCTTTCATGAACATCTGCAAATTTTACTTTGACAGATTACTGCTTTTGAATACATCTGCATACATCGATAGAGGAGTTAC